ATATAAAATTCATTCGTCGACTATTTCAAATTGGCAGTGGCTGCATTGTCATGTCAACGTCCAGCTCTAAGATTGTGATATACACAAATGCAGTGTCATATCCTAGTCTCATAATTTGATATACCTACATAATTCACAGAAACCCAATATTTAGATGCCAGAAGTTAACTTCAAATGTTGTTAATCACCCTATATACAATACCAATCAATAACGTTTATGTCGCAGGTTGAAGAAAGCAGTAATTCCCGTCTGTTGTTTTGGAGAATGGTAGCAACTGCCTTGGATCACTAAATTAAATAATTATGCAATCACCAAAGCAAAGTTTATATTATTTGATTAAATAAAACTAGTTTTTACGGGCTAATGCACGAAACTTTATTTATTTATTGACGTTTCGTAGCCTTTACAGGCTACGTCATCAGAATTAAACTTTTATTTAATTTGTCGAGCTACCTTCGAAAGACTTTTATTGAGCGTTCGGTTATTTCATTGATCGATTTTTAAAGTTTTATTATCTATGTATGAATTTATTATTAAATTTACTTAATAAAGTATTTTATTTAAATTCTTTTTTGTAATTTTGAGTTTATTTATTTGACCCTAACTACCGTAAACCAGTGGCGTAGCATGGGGGGGGGGGGGGGGGGGGGGGGGGTGCGGTCCGCACCGGGCGGCACTGTGCCGGGGGCGGCCCGGTTGTTGTTACCAAATACCCAGGTACCTATGCAGGTTCTATGCATGGGTGATGCAAGCGCAAGGTTTCTCAATAACTATTATTTTATTACGTTTTCTCTGTAATTTTTCTAAGTGATATTGTGATAGTCTACCTTCTACTCTATGTCAAAAAATGTTAATTTCACTCTTAGGTTAGTGTTATTCAATAAAAGTACTCTTTTTACCATGCCTCAATTTTTTTATAATGGATTGCAAAAATAAGAGGGCGGCAAATTTGGAATCCGCACCGGGTGCTTGTGACCTATGCTACGCCACTGCCGTAAACTACCACCGGTTCCAAAATTGGGAGACCTTTCTGAGAAGAACCGGCGAAACAAACTCAAGAGAGGCTTTCTATCTCCTTCTTATTTTAAATTATGGTCTATGGTGGTCCATTTAGTATTTTTTAGGTGAAAGGGTAACAAAGATCCATACAAACGTAAGATTGAAAATAAAAGAGCCAGTGTTCAATATACAACTTTAAAGCGTTGTAGATCCTAAACAATCATATAATATGTAACATGGTGTTAGGAACCTAAACATGATTTTCAATTATCTAGACAGTGATACCCCACTCGACATATTTTGTCAACTTTTTTTTTACTTCGTGACAATATGGCGCCTAATTTTGTCCATATTGAATTTTGATTACTGTCATATCTTTAGTAGCACTCCCATGATTGGGACGAATCGATTAATGTATGAATCATCAAAATCGGTCCAGGCGTTTGGTCTCTAGTGTGCCACAAAGGAACAAACATACATATATAGACTGTTAAACGCTATACCCTGTCTGCGCGTCACGCTTCGCGCTCTTGCATTGCGCAGTCGGGTTAAAACCCGACTGCTAAAAAATTACTTCATATAAAAACTGAAAATAAAAAAAACAAGTCCAGTAGTCTATAATTCTGTTAAGTAAGGAACAAAACTACTGTAACAGTCAGGACCCATTATTGAAAATTTTTATTCATTCTTGAATATCTAATGGGTCCCGACTGTTAAAGTAGCTTTGTTCCTTACTTAACAGAATTATAGACTACTGGACTTGTTTTTTTTATTTTCAGTTTTTATATTTTGTGATGTGGAGTTATTTATAAAACTATGATATCCCATAAGATATTTATAAAAAATCGACTGAAGTCAAGAAAATGTTTGATTAAAATTAAATACTCTTGATGAATATATATATGTATGTAAATTTTAATAAGGCATAATTATCATGGAGAGTAAGACAAAAACACCTTCGCAGATATTACATTATTTTAGAAAAAACTTTGATTGTTTGTTTGTAACAAAAGGTTATAGTGAGTCAACCTTATAAGATAGAATTATGTTGTCATGGTTTCTTTTTTAAAAGTTTTTCAGGAGAACAATTTCTTGATACATGTTTTTTATGTAATTTTAACCGTTTACGCAGCACACTCAAAGAAAGCTCTAAAAAGGTTTTTTTTTCCATTGTCGCAACATTTTTCATTAATGCTCCGCTGCTATTAGTCTTATAACGATGTAATATAACCTATAACCATCCTCGATAAATGGGATATTTTCCCAAAAATATTCTTTTCAATTTCAGTTCATCAGTAGTTCCTGAGATTAGCGCATTCAACCAAACAAACAAACAAACTCTTCAGCTTTAAAGTATTAGTATAGCATAGGCCTACATCGAAAACACGGTTCTATTCCAAGAAGATTTGAGTAACTGAATTTATATAGATGATGTTTATTCAATATTTTTTTTAAACTAGGAAATACTTGAAATGTCGTCATTTCGTCTTTCATTCCAATTCGTTTTTCAACACACTGAAATTTTCATACGCGATGCTGATAGATGTTTTTAAACATATTAAGTACTATATTCATTATTTATAAAGCTACTGGAAAATATTATGGTATTTTTATTTACTGCGAGTTCTCAGACATATTAAATAACTTTTTTTGATGAAAATAATAGAGGAGCTCGATGGCGCCAGTGGTTAGCGCGTTCCGCTGCGATCGTTGAATTTAAGCAACTTTCGCAGTGGTCGGTCATTGGATGGGTGACCGAAAATTTACTATATAGAGCTCCTCCGTGCTTCGGAAGGCACGTTAAGCCGTTAGTCCCGGCTGCATCTGCAGTCGTTAGCACCCACCAACCCGCACTGGGCCCGCGTGGTGGGTCATGGCCCAATCTCCCTATTCCATCCATAGGGAAGGCCTGTGCCCCAGCAGTGGGGACATTAATAGGCTGATGATGATGAAAATAATAGGAGAACCAAGCTTTACTCAGATTTTGTTACGACCTAATACCGAAACATTACGCTTAAGTTGCGTTTAGATAGAGCCGACTATATACAGCGCCGAATATCATTGTCTTAAGAAATAAGGTGTCTTATAATAAGATACCCTTTTCTTAAATACTGAGAAATTAGCATAAGTACTTACATTGTAACTATAATGGTTACAAATTAGGGTTTATACTAGGAATTTTGCGAAATTCATCTGCGTCATAGTTAATATTACATACAAACTTTCTTTACCCATTGCGTTTTATTTTCGTGATAAAAAGTATCTGATTATCATATTCTCCGAGATCCCTTTTATATCTATACTAAAATTGTTCGGCGGTTTAAGAATGAAAACGTAACATACAGACGAGTAGCTTTCGTATTCTGCTTAAAGTGATGCAGACCTCAAATATTAACTGACCTTTTAGTATTACCTGTATAAATTAGTGAAGCCACAGAATACATAAAAAAACTTTGTCGAGTATAAATTGAATCATTACTGTGTTGTAAGTACCTACACTGCCGAATCATCAATCATTCTCCATTGTCCAAAACGGCTTTGGGGAATTACAGAGTTCAATCTCTTTTTTTCTATGCACACATTTGGGTAAAACTTTTAATCTAAAAAAAAAACGACGGGTTGCACTCCGGGAGTGCCGGCAGAAGTGAAAACTTGAATATTAACGTTGGGCATTTATGATATTTTGGAATGGTTAGGGAATAATTTAGCACGAATGTATTTAATTATCAGTATAAAAGTACTATCATTTATGTGGCAGAATACAATATTTATTTATTGCGTTATCGTACACAAACATGACAATGAGGGCTATCACGTCTGAAACCGCCGCTAGAGGCGCTTGTGTAGCGTGAGGTCTCCGAAATGTCAAATGTTATAACTTGCGGGTTGACTACGCGGTTTTTTTCTAATTAAAATAATAGTTGTGAATATTTGGTAATAAATCAGACTTATTATGGCAAATATGAGTTACGTGTCAATGATTGTCAGTTATTTAAAAGCGGAGCTAAGAAAAAATATTGTCCTTCTTTTTTCCGAACAAAACGGGACTGCGCAACACTGTGGCATGGGCGAATAGTTTAAGATACGATTCTTTTGTATTAAAATGTAAACTTTGATATCACGAGCGTGTTTACTGACTTTAAAAGTTACACTTCAGGACCTCACTCAACAGTGGCGTCATCTGGTGAGACAAAAAACGATAGCCCTCATTTATATTACATTAAAAAGTTTATCTCTCAGAATTTGTCATTTAAGCGCACCTAGCGACATCTATTGTAAAAAAAATGCATTTTCTTCGCAATAAAGCTGCCACCTGGACGTCCTAGATACAGACTTATTATTATAATACGATAAAATAAAATATTACTATGGTTAGTCCAATATATTGAAAGTCAACAACCTTTCCAATTTTATTGTTTTCGTCCTACGATCAGGATTATTATTATTATTACGTGGCCTGTGATGCGATCAGCCCACGTGTCATGACGCGAGTTTAACATTTTTTACCCATAAAGAAAATGTACAACACCGCTAAAGAAGTTTTCACTTCAAAACAATTCTAGAAAGCATTCCACTCGGTCAAGGTAGCAGTCAGAATTTGATCTCCACTATCAGAACGGAAAAACTCTTTAGATTTATAAACCTAGCACTTTTTTTTATAGTAAGGTAGGCAAACGACTCTTCCCCATCTGATGTTAAGTGGTGATAAAGTCCAGACGTAAAGATAGCTGGTGCAGCAGTTATAAACTGCACAAACAACACACCAACCATCCTCACCTAGCCGGTCTGCAGAAATGCTTCTTCACGCCTCTCTTTTATGGACCACAGAATGAAGGAGGGAACACGCGTGCGGGCAACGAATTCCACTTGCGTGCAATAAGTAGTACAAATGAATGAGCCACCAAATTTCTTTGTTCGTGTAGGAATAGCGGTCTCAGTAAGTTCATTGCTTATAATAAAATGTAATAAATAATTTTAATGTTTTTTATGATTCATGCAGCTTATATCTATATCGGCGGCGTGTTTGGCGGTGACTTTGGTGGTGTACTGCTCGATACCGGAGCTGCGGAACTTGCACGGCCTCACGCTGATCTGTCACGTCGGCACCATGCTCCTCGCGTACTCTTGCCTAGCGCGAGTGCAGTACAGCCACGTTAAAGACGAGAGCTTTTGTGTTGCCTTGGGTAAGTTTTTATGTATTTTTTTTTTTAATAAATACTTGTACTCCAACCACTTAATGAGGATATGAGCATGACGCGCGTAGTTAAATTCGTTTTTTATAACATTTTGAATGTTTCCGGCTCCTTGTCATTCTACGAGTATTTTTACTAGATTGAAAATTGAAACTGGGGGATTGAGCTATTCTCACCTGCGGCTGACTATTAACGCTCATAGCCGTTAATAGTCAGCCGATATTGATACCCACACGAGAAAATAATTAAACTTTTAAACATTATTCTTCGACTGTTGAGGTTTTCAATTACAAAGTTAATTGGACAATGGGTTAGGGAAACATAAAAATAATATTATTTCACTACCTTTATGCAATTTCTGATTTTATTAGTATAAGCCCAATAGTTTTTACTTCACTTCGATACGATACGGATATACAAAGTTACACATGACAATTTGGTTAAGGGCCACGTGACGTCATCGTATCCGCCTGGTTGGAACAGTTTTCATAGATACTTTGATTTTGTTTTCATAGATGGCGATACGAATACTTATTTGCTAGTTGTTCGTGCATGGGGTACTGAAACATCATATGTGGCTTTCACAAAAACATCAACGCGTGGCCATTTGCTATGAATCTTTAAAAAAAACATTATAAAAGAATATATTTTAAGTTGAAAGTTCTACACTCGAAAAGTAAAATAAAATAAATAGGCACAGTGCCTTAATTATACGAATATATATTTAATATCTTTCCCCGTGGAGTCTTGGAATGCCTGAAAGGTCTCATTCGCGACTAGTCCGATGACAAACACGAAGACCCAGTGAAGTCTAAAGTCACTGGATCTTTTACAAACGGGCGGGATACAATTGTAAATTATTATTATTTTCCCTAACTTTAGTAGCTCGCACTCTATCGCCAAAACATCCGTCTCATACACCCATACTGGTTGACTGGTAGAAAATGCCTATGACATTAAGTCCGCCATTTACTGTTTTTGATAATAAAGAATAAATAAATAAATTCGAGCGGATAATCTGCTATGGTCTTTTTGCACTTTTCAATAGCAAATTATTTATAACCGAAAAAACTTAAATTCCCAGAGAGATCTATACAGCTTACGAGAATTTCACATTAATATACACACACCTAACAAGTTTAATCATAATCCTTATGTTTTATGCGTTTGATTTTCTCAATCTATACTCTATACTAATATTATAAAGAGGAAAGATTCGATTGATTGTTCGTTTGTATTGAATAGGATCCGAAACTACTGGACCGACTTGAAAAATACTTACACATTTAGAATCTTACATTATCCCTGATGAACATAAGCTTTAGAGTATTTTAAAAAAAGTTAGGGTTCCGTATGAAAAATTTGATAATGCAACCCAGGGTGTGAAAAGAATACCAAAAAATAACCTTATATCGCTTATAATGCGGATATGATCGACATTAGAGCAAAGTGATGTAGTAAAGTTTTATAGAGGATATAAATATCTACAAAAATGTCCTCGATATCATATGTGTAACTATTAAAGTTCTGTCACAACTATAGGTCTCACCCGCATTAATTTGAGGAAAAAGGTTATAGTGAGTCAAACTTAAAAGACAGGCATGTGCTGTCACGGATTTCTTTATAGAACTTTTAAAGGGGAACAATTTCGTCGTACATAATTTTTGTGTGACTTTAATCATTAACGCAGCGCACGCAACGGGCTCTCCCATATAGAATATTTTTACCTAGTGTTGCCCAAATTCAGTCTTGGTCTTGTTCTTGCATTTTTGCAAGACCAAGACCAAGAACAAGACCGCGTATTTTTAGCAAGACCAAGACCAAGACTGACCGTGCAAGACTTGAGCAAGAACAAGACTAATCCGGCAAGACTCTTGCGTCTTGCAGCTAGGACTTAGCGCTATTTCACGGAGTAGTTAGGTATAACAGTTCGGTGTATAGGTACGCTTAGGAATTCTATGAGACGCAAAAAACTGTATCAAAGATTATGAAAAACTGGACCTATGCGCATTACGACCAATACCATAAATATACATAGCGAATAAAAAAATATCCATTAAAATCAAACAGAGTGCACTCTATTGAAATCACATACAACAATCGTTGCCGCCGCGCCGAAATCACAACATTTGACACTATCTGATTGCCGCCACAGGGCCTAGGTATATATCATGCAAAATTCTAAATTCGTGTCGTGCCGTCCCACTCACGCTAAAGAATAAATAAGTTTCAGAGTGCTTAGAATGGAAACGAATACATTATACTGATCACGCAAGTAGTATTATGATTAGATAATGGTAAGGATAGGTAGTAGATGTCATAATAATTTATTCTAGTAAGTATATATTATAATATTGATTATGTAGGATTATAATTGGTCTTTCTATAGCTATATTAATTCAAGCTCACAATGTTCCAATTCTAATACGTTTTTCTAAGATCTAAAGTAAACTTTAATAAGTAGTAATAGTCTAATAGGTAATTGCAAGACTTGCAAGACTCTTGCTGCAAGACCAAGACCAAGACTGGGAGCGCAAGACCAAGACCAAGACCAAGTGTATTGGCGCAAGACCAAGACCAAGACTTGCTAAGTCTCGTCTTGTTCTTGCATTTGGGCAACACTATTTTTACCCGTTTTTAGCTCGCGTACTAACATCGTGATAATATACTATATATACACATAAACAGCGTAATAATATATAGTCTCAACCCTTCCCCAATAAATGCACTATCTAAAACAAAAATATTTTTTGAAATCGGACCATCCTGAGATTTGCGCGTTCAACCAAAAAATGGTGCATCCTATAAAACGGGTCCTAACCTAAACTACGCCACAAAATTTTCATATCAGGTAAATAAATCTTCATGGAAGCTTTATTATTATATAAATAAATTCATTGTGTATATTACAAGCCTGAGAACAAAAACTATAGCCTACATCTCTACACCGAAACAAAGCGAGGGCGGGCCACTATACTATTAATAAAGCTGTAACAATAAGTTTGTTGACGATTAGGAGCCGAACGGACCATTTATTTACAAGAACTGTTCATTCGGAGGTGAGAATGAGAGCATAAGTGTAGTATGCCGCGATATGAGTAAAGACAGCAAAGAGGCAAAGCTTCATTCAATGCGCGTGTGTGGGTGAGCACTGGCAGCCTGTCGTCGCCAGTTAGAAACGTTTTGCTTACTCACACACGCGCAATTGTATAAAGCGTTGTCTATGTGCCTTCTTTATCCATGTGATGCCGTCGATACCGCTTGGAGTAGATCAATTATCGCGGTTTCATTGTTTGTTCAGGGTATGGCATCTACTTCGGGTTCGTGGCTGCCTTCACTTGGCTGAACGTCATGTGCCTCGACATCTGGTGGACATTTGGGTGAGTTCTCAGTCTCGGTTGTATACACAAATTTATTGTTCAACTTTAAGGACTATGTATGTATGACTTGCAATTATTATTTCTTTATTTTTCAATTTTATTTATATATATGTAAGGTTACTAATTTTTAGTGTCTCGCTGTTTGGGAAAACTGCAGTGCATTCATATTTTCCCTATTAATACCACAAGGAATTTCGCAGCTCCTTTCAATTCGTTCTCGATCCGTCGCATAGAACGGACACACTGTCACAATATATACATTTAGACAAAATGTGAAAAGTGCGATAAAAATACTTCTACCCAAAACTCAACGTCCCGTTAACATTAATACAATTTTAACAATGACAGACAAGCCTGGCTTTTTGTATTTAAGTATATATATTTAAAAAAAAACGACAGGTTGCACTCCGGGAGTGCCGGCAGAAGCGAAAACTTGAATATTAACGTTGTGCATTTTTGATATTTTGGAATGGTTAGGGAATAATTTTGCACGAATTGTTTTAATTATCAGTATAAAAGTACTATCATGTATGTGGTAGAATACAATATTTATATAATGCGCTATCGTACACAAACATGTCAATTTATATTACATTAAAAAAGTTTATCTCTCAGAAAAATCAACTCACATGAATCACGTTTAAGCGCACTTAGCGACATATATTGTAAAGAAATCAACTTACATGAATGACATTTAAGCGCACCTAGTGATATCTATTGTAAAAAAACGTATTTTCTTCGCAATAAAGCTGCCACGTGGACGTCCTAGATAGAGACTTATTATTATAATACGATAAAATAAAATATTACTATGTTTCGTCCAATATATTGAAAGTCAACAACCTTTACAATTTTATTGTGTGTCATGATGCGATCAGCCCACTTTAACCTGACGCGAGTTTAACATTTTTTACCCATAAAAAAAAGTGTACAACGCTGCTAAAGAAGTTTTCACTTCAAAAATACAACATCAAACTTTAGTTATTATTAGCCTTTCTATTTTTTATTTAAAAATATTTTAGCTCTACACACGTCATGTAAATTAATATTGATTAACTTGTGACGTCTTTGTGAGTGTGTGTGTGTTGTGTTTTCAGAAAAGTGAACAGCTCAATGAAGAACGGATATTCGGTAATTTATTTATAGACTTTATACCACCATAATCTGTTTCTACCGAGCAGTCTTTCTCGTGTCTCTCTCACTACGGAACATTGGCGAAATTTCTGCGTAAAACGGAGAAGCCAGGCAAAAATAATAATATAACGAAATCGCGTCCTGGTTTAGAGTGTTTTCGCTCTGATAAGATGGTGCATCTCAACAATGAATGCTCCGGATTTTCCACCAAACAGAAGAATGCACTCCGAGCCAACGAAAACCTGGAGTGGTCATGCTATGAATGTAAAAGTATATCGTCTAGGCGCATATCCATAATCGTACTTGATGACGAGGACGAAGATGATACATTTGGGTCACCTATATCAACGGCCACCACTGTTCCTATAGACGGAAAGAAACTCCTTAAAGAAATATCGACCAAGGTGGAAAGTGCTATTCAACGACAACTTAATCAATTTGTCGAGTCACTTGTTCAGTTTTTATAACAGAAAAGTAGATGATGTGCGTGAAACCATGGAATCCTTATAAAACTACAATCAAGAAAATGAAAAGGAAGAACATAGAAATATCTAATCATAACAAAAATTTTGAATTAAGAGTAATCGCGCTGGAACAGAGAGTACAGGAGCAAGAGCAACTGCAACTTTCTAAAACTATCGATGTCTTTAACATTTCTATTGCCGAAAACGAAAACCTTACTAATATCGTAGAAATACTCAAGAAGAAACTGGATGTAGCTGGAAGCATAGTGGAAGTGAAGCGAATCGGTGGAAATAAAAAACTGTCTGGAAAATTACGTATAGTACCCCCATCGGACGTCGATCAAAGAAATTGGCTTACAAAAGCAAAAACTACTGAGATTATAGTACAAGACGTTGTCCCCAGTGTAACACATCAAATAAGAGAAGAAAAAAAATATATAAGCGAAGCATTAACATTATGTATATAATAGAATTTTACTCGGCAGCGCCAGGAAACAATTCAAGAATACAGGACTAAACAAATATTATGTGTGGTGCAAGAAAGGACTCATTAAGCGAGAAAAAATGAAAAAGATCAGTCAATCATAATTAGGACTAACAATGATGTTAAAGCTTTACTGCAAAGGGAAGTCCATGTACAGCCGTTGTAAATGGTTTACTTAACTAACTAAATATAACGAACCTACCTTAATGTTCTTTTATAAGGATATACAATTAGATAATATCTGTGAACTTAGTAATTGTACCGATTCGAATTCCTTTTATAAAAAACGACCTAAAAATAACTATCAAACTAACCTTTTATGCATGCACCTAAACTTATGATCACTCTAAAGAAAAGTTTACTAGAAAAAAAAACCTACAATACAAGTCGATGATCGAGTCACGAATCGGCGGTACCTGGAAAAACTTTTGTAAGTTTATGTTTATTCCCCCTTTGGAAAAATAAGTCTAGAAATTAATAAATAGAATTAGTAGAATAGTCTAGAATTAGTCTAGCTATCCAAAGGGGGAATGCTGCCAGTATCTTCGGAACCTTGCCGAAAGGGACTCCTTTTAATAATGTATTTTAGTTATTATATATATATTTTTTTAAGGTGTTTAGTTTTAGGTTCATTGATACAGTATATTTTTTGTTTTAATTATTCTATTAAGGATGATTATGATACCAACATAGATTTTATCTGTATATATGTTAGACTTTAAGGTATCTATCTATGGGCCTACGTTTTCTTTGACAATTCATTGTTTTAATTGTAATAAATTATAAGTACATATATTTTAATAAATTGAAGTGAAATTTGTTTTTGGTGATTATGGCTGCGTCTCATTACTTGAAGATTCTGCCAATGTCTGGGTCGTAGTTTTTTTATGCATATTTTGATTGGTTGAAATGGTGGGCATCGCTATTTAACAAAAGAAGAATTATTATATACACTCTTTAATAGAAGAAGATAAACGGCTGTAGTTCGGCCTATAGGCGACCGGTAGTGAAAATAAATGTGTTTAAATGATTTTTTATTCAATTACTCGTAAACAACTGTGCAGATTTTCGTGGGAGAGCCACGCAGTAGCTTAGGCTACTGCATGAATGGGCCGGCTCGACCGGAGGAATACCACGACCTCACAGAATACCGGCGTGAAGCAGTACTTTGTACTATGTTTCGCCGAGTGAGTGAGGCTACCGGAGGCCCCCCCCCCCCCCTTTTCCTCATGATGGCGCAGTTAAATAGGATAATACCCCAGGGGGGTACCAGCTGTTTTCACGCTGGAGAATCCCCCTCTGGACGTCCATGCCCAGAACTGTCTCTTGGACGTGGACGTCGAGGCTGCCCTTCGTATTCTGGGGAGGGCGTATATAACAGCGCTCATTACTGAAACTGCTCGAGGCCAGAGCAAGCGTCATACGACACCCCCTGCCATGTTTAACGTGGATTTCTGCAATATCAGGGGCTTGCACTCCAACCTTAATGCTGTTCACTACCACCTTCAGACAGTGCAGCCGGCCTTGCTTTTTTTGACTGAGACGCAGATATCCTCTCCAGCCGACACCTTCTACCTCCAGTACCCTGGGTATACTTTGGAACATTTCTTTGTACCACGGGCTTGGGTTTGTGTGTACGTTAAAGAGGGTATCGGTTTCCGTCGCCTCAGCAACTTTGAAGATAGGGACCTCTCCATCTTATGGTTGCGTGTAGACGTCGATGACCATCCCCGCGTCTCCTCTACAGGTCCCATAGCGGAAATGCCGAAACTGACCGACTCTATGATTACATCCAGGTGGCTACAGACTCCGTGCTTCAGCAGATCCCATCATCTGAAATTGTGATCCTTGGCGATTTCAATGCCCACCACTCCGAATGGCTTGGATCGCCCACTACCAATCATGCAGGCAGATCTGCTCACGACTTCGCCTTGGCCTATGGTGTCACACACCTGGTCACCTCGCCTACGCGAATCCCAGATGTCGAAGACCATACACGTTCACTGTTGGACCTTCTGCTGACTTCACATCCGGATAATTACAAAGTGTCCATAGATGCCCCTCTTGGCTCCTCGGATCATTATCTAATCCGGAGTATGGTACCACTCACTTACTCACCGCGGCCGCAATTTGCTGGCTGTCGTCGTGTGTGGCACTATAAGTCAGCTGACTGGGATGGGATGCGCTTCTCGCAGAATGATCCCAACGTCGCTGCCGATTCTGTCGCCGATGTTGTTCTTCAGGGTATGGAACTTTTTGTTCCTTCCTCTGTGGTTCTCATTGGTGGCAAATCCCAGCCTTGGCTTGGTCACTACTGAAAACTGGCATCTCGCCAAAAACAGATGTGTTATCAGGCCTGAGCAAACGCAGCGGCGGTCGGGGATAACAACACTAGCGATCTCAAAAAGAAGTATAACTTGGCTTCCAGGTCCCGCAAAAGAGTAATTGCCAGAGCGAAGTCAGAGTACATTAGTAGCATTGGCGAGAGTTTAATAAAACTTCCCTCTGGAACACGCGCGTTTTGGTCTCTTGCCAAGGCTGTTGAAGGAATTTTTTGTAAGCCATCCCTTCCACCCCTGCACAATGGCCCATACTGCAAAAGAGAAAGCGAATCTTTTATGCTCACTCTTTTAGTCTAACTCGACTTTAAATGACAGGGGATACATACCGCCGACCATCCCGCGGTGTCAGAGCTCTATGCCGGAGATCCGGTTCACACAAAGCTTAGTGCGTAAAGCACTCTTTTCCCTTGTCATCCACAAGTCGAGCGGGCCTGATGGAATCTCACCAATTGTGCTGAAGACGTGTGCTCCTGAGTTGGCTCCGGTACTAACGCGTCTTTTCCGGCTCTCCTACTCTTTAGGTGTCGTTCCGAACTCATGGAAGACAGCTTTAGTGCACCCGATTCCTAAAAAAGGCGACCGCTCACTCCCTACTAATTATAGGCCTATAGCCATCACCTCCTTGTTCTCCAAGATAATGGAGTCTATTATAAATTGCCAGCTCCTGCGGTACCTAGAGGACCACCAGCTGATCAGTGACCACCAGTACGGTTTCCGTCAGAGTCGCTCGGCTGGTGATCTACTAGTATACCTGACTCATCGTTGGGCAAAGGCGATCGAGACCAAGGGGGAAGCATTAGCGGTCGGTCTGGATATCGCGAAGGCCTTCGATCGGGTTTGGCACAAAGCGCTTCTTTCGAAGCTTCCTTCTTATGGGCTTCCTGAAAAGCTGTGCGTTTGGATCACTAGCTTTCTTGCGGACAGGAACATCAAGGTCGCAGTCGACGGTGCATGCTCGGACTCCAAATCCGTAAACGCTAGTGTTCCACAAGGCTGTGTGCTATCGCCTACACTGTTTCTTCTTCATATCAATGATATACTTCAAATTGATGGCATTCATTGTTATGCAGACGACAGCACGGGTGATGCCCTATATACCGGCCGCGCCAACATTTCATGGGAAAACGTCATCGAGTGCCGGAACAAACTTGTGTCTGAAGTTGAAACTTTGTTAAACCGAGTAACGAATTGGGGCCGACTTAATCTAGTCCAATTTAACCCTACGAAGACACAAGTATGCGCGTTCATCGCAAAAAAAAATACCATTTGTCGTATCTCCTCTTTTTGAGAACACTCCTCTAATTGCCTCAGCTAGTATTGGAATTCTTGGCGTTGACATATCGAGCGACGTCCAGTTTCGGGATCATTTAGAGGGCAAGGCCAAATTGGCCGCTAAGAAGCTTGGTGTGCTCAATAGATCGAGAATGTACTTCACACCGGCCCACCGACTGCAGCTTTATAAGGCACAGGTTCGGCCTCACATGGAGTACTGCTCTCATCTTTGGGCGGGGGCACCCCAGTACCAGCTTCTCCCTTTGGATCGCATCCAGCGCCGAGCAGCTCGAATAGTCGACCACCTGGACCTTTCCGATCAGCTTGATCCTTTGGCTTTGCGTAGGGATGTAGCTTCGCTCTGCATCTTCTATCGCATTTATCACGGGGAGTGTTCTGAGGAATTGTTCGGATTTATTCCAGCTGCTGCATTTCGCCATCGTACATCGCGACAAAAATCCACAACCGTGTGTTTTTGTCAAATTTTTTACCACGTACGACAAAACTGTGGAATATGTTGTCGCCAGCAGTGTTTCCGGACCGATACGACCCAAAAACCTTCAAAAAAAGAGCGTACTCCTTCCTGAAGACCGGCATCGCATTTGTGATACTCCTGGTGTTGCAAGTGTCCATGGGCGACGGTGATCACTTACCATCAGGTGAGCCGTCTGCTCGTATGCCCCCTATAACATAAAAAAAAGATATTGATAAAATATGGCGCACAGGAATAGCACATTCCGATATTGATACATAAGATCATTTAAATCCAGGCGAAAGTTTCCTCAGGAACAAAATTGAAAAAAATGGACTTCAAGTTGCAAACACCAACAATTTATGTAGGTACCTAATTGTATATAAGTACATATATGTAATTCATATTTCCTTTTTTATACCATGTTGTAGAA